AAAAATGTAATGGTACGCAGTATGTCTTCCATGTTTGAGTTTGCACTACACTTTGAGGTAAACCATAAAATGTGAGTGCTCTATTTTAGTTTTTCCTCCTGTACGCCTGCATCTCACAGTGTGTACACATTTGGAAACCTTCAGACCAGAAGATCTACCCAGTCTAATTCCCTATTTACTGCACTAACTTAAAATGTGACAAAGCTCATGATTTTTTTTTTTAGTCTAAGAAACATAAATGCTGTTATCCTAAAAATTTTTCATTTAGGTGGATTTCTCAGACAGATTCAGGCTAACCTCATTAACCAGGGTGAAGAAACATGGCTTTGGTAGAATGTCATATGCCTAAAGTTTGTGAAGGTTTGGAGGTCTCCCACCAAGCTTGCTTTTGAAACTCCAGCACCTGGAACCTGATTTACATTTGTTTGCTGATGAATAACACATGGGTGCTTTCAGTCCTTCTGAAGAAAAATCTTGTAGTTATTCTAAAGGTAGCTACAACCTGGGGAGGCACATATGGTCTTGGAGCAGAGGCTATGTTGGGATTGGTGAAGCATGGCTGAAACTATTGAATTAGTTCTTGTCTCAGTGCATGCTGAGCTCATGAGCTTTGTTGGGTCAGTTAGGAGAGTTTTGTTTGCATAGCCACGAAATGGAAGTAAGAGCTCTGGGGAGAGTTCTTGCCTGATTTTCTCTATGACTATCCTGGGACCAGCAAATGCTGACTTCTTAGAATCAAATAAATATTTTCTTCAGAGCGAGACTATTTTTATTTTTGTGGCTTTCAAACCCACATATAAACCAACAATCTCACACAGGAAAAGTGGCATATAAAATGAGAGAACCCACAGTAATTGCATAAAAGGCGGTTTTTCTGTGTATCTACTATCTAACACACAGTATAACCTGAAAATAATCTATGTGTAAGTGGAAGAGGGAATGGTGATTTCTAGTCCTGTTGTAGATGTAGTCACTCTCACTTAAGTGGTCATTACAGACTGGTAATCAATCATGGAGTTCCAACTCAGAGACCATTGCCTTAGCAATGACCAAAAAGGACAGGCTGAAAGAAATCAGGGTGCTGAGTGTCCTCTCAGAAGGTGGGCTCTGAGCTTAGGTGCAAGATCTGTCTTTCTGAGAACTGACAGTGCCCTACCTAGTGTAATGCTCTGGCCCAGCTTTCTTTGGACATGTCCTGCCTTCTTTGTCCTCTATGGATAGGGTAGAAAATAAGCCAGTATCCAAAAGTGACCTAGGAAGAAAATATAGAAATATGTCTGCTAGGAATCTCATGGAACCCTTGAGATTGTGGACAGTGAAATGTGGAAGAACAGAATCTCAGGCAAGACCAAGACTGAAGCTTCTGGCCGAGCCCAACATTCCTTGGCTGCAAGAGGATGTACTGCTAGGAGAGGAGAGCATGCTCCATGCTTTGCATCTAAATAGATCCGGGCGTCATTGGCACTAATACTCTGTCCAGGAATCCTATGCTAGTGTTTCTCCAAAGGGCTAGAGATCAGTGTGCTAACAAGTTACCTGAATTTCCATTTTTATTGCTACATTATTCATAATAGTCTAGTGTCAACTTCTGTCTATCAATGATTGAATAAAGAAAATGTGATATGTACGCTTCAGTATGATATATATATATATACATATATATATATATATATATATATATATATATATATATATATATTTCAGCCAAACTAAATTAAAAAGAGATCTTGTCATTTGCAACAGCCTGGATATACCAGGGGGTATTATGCCAAGCACAAATAGCCAAGCACAGAAGAACAACATAAGCTGTTACTTATGTGGGGAATTGAAAACCATTGTAGTTGTAGATATAGAGTACAATAGTAGTTGTCACAGGATAGGGATTTAGGAGCATTTTGAGATGTTGTTCAGAGGGTGCAAAGTTTTAGCTAGACAAGAGAAATAAGACTTTTTATATCTATTTGTACATCACACTGATCATACTTAGTAGTGTGTATACATCACACTAAATCATAATTATTAAATAATAAAAAATAATAATTATTAAACTATTGGTTATGTGGATCATCCTTAATCATTCCAAATTGTATATATATATATATATATATATATATATATATATATACACACACACACACACACATATACCATAACAACTCTTAGAACACCATAAATATCTTCAAGAAAAGAATTTTGAAATAATATTTAAGTGTCATTTGATTGAGTAAATCCTGGCATGGGAAAAATAGTATGTGGTGAAAGGAATGGGAATTTATATGTATTCATTTCTTACTGTGCTTTAGAGGATATACCAGCAACTGTGGATACATTATATAAAACTCCAGTGTGGGAGATACCTATTACTAACTACATGTGTAGATAAAAGAGGATGAGAAACCTTAGATTGTATGTCAAGTGGAATGGAGGTAACAGTTCACTTCTACGTCAAAATGCAAACTTCCATTACCTGTCCTTGTAGAAAATAAAAGTCACAAATTGGTAGATCTCAACTCAGCTGTCCTAGTAAGGTAACCTGGTGCAATCAGCATACCCCTGTGATGATTTCCATTGACTTTCATTCAGTGTCACTAAGGGTCAATTCAGCAAATCCTATCTTCCCTTAGACATCAGGATCAGTCATCTACCTATCATCATGGCCCACATAAGCAGATGACAGCTGCCCTGTTATTCAGGAAGTAAGACAAATAGACCAGCAAATTTCAAGATTGTGGCAATAGAGCTAAAATATGGACTGACAGTTACAAGGCCAGGGCTGCTGGTAGGCTGATGGTTAAGGAATCTGCCTCAGTCCAAGTTCTCTCCTAAATTCTGCATTACTTTTGGTCCTCACTATCTTTTACTGGGAATCTCTTTCTTTTTATTTTTTTAGAGTAGAATTGGGATCAATCTACAGGAATACTTTTCAACGGAGTTTTAAACTAAAAACCCATTTCCCCAAAGTAAATAGAACCCGGGAGTATTCATGTATATGACTGGAAAACTTACTAAAATATTATTTTTTGGTTTTTTGCTTTATTGATTTTCTTTATTTTTTTTTCCTGAGGAAGGAGCCAGATCTTCAGTAGGTGTTAGGTGCAGGAATTTTGGTTTTCAGGCTCAAATCAGAAGCTGATTTTTCCTTGTTAAGCTACACAAGACAATTAATTATGAGAATGTGATGTAGCATGCTCTGTAAACAGATGGGAGAAGGCATGCCTTTGAGAATTACATGATCTCAGAGTGAGATTTAACTCTGTAACACAAAAGAATGTAGTATTTTGTGTATTTGAGACATAGAGGCATTAAGATTGAGCCAAATTCTGTAAGGCAGTGTGGATATAAGTGACCTGACCCTGCAGCCCAAGGTGGAGGGAATGTTCAGCAAGGTAAAAAAAGCACCCACAGCACATTTGTTCAACAAAATGCCATGCACTTTGTGTTCTCTAAGCTATGAACTTCTCAACAAAGAGAAGTTTGGATAATATTAGATATAATGGATGTATCAGTAACATTCATGATGACTTAAATATTACAGATATCTCCCCATTTTCTTCTCTGGTGGCCTCCCAGACTCAGGTTTGATTCTTCAAGATGGCACTGTAGTGCTGACAGGTATTATGGTTTCCAGCAGGTTGACTGGGTATGTGCATTTCCTGTAATTGGATATTGTATGATAACATTTATATCTGTTTCCTTTCAAACAAATGAAAATAAGCCTGCTTCATTATCTTATCACCTATGGGCCCTCTTTTGAATCATTTAGCAACTTCATATCTGAAAAGTGTGTGACTAAGGTCATTTTTAAATCTCATACAGTTTTGAAGTATCATGTGATAATGTTGATAGAAACTGTAAGCATAAATGCAAATAAGATGTTTTATTTCCCAGGTTTTCCACACAGGCTTCATTGGGCAATCTGGAGGATGGAGATGGAGTTAATTTGGAAAGTCTGTGACCATACCAGCTTCACTGGGATCTATGATTCTGTTCATCATAGAACCTAAGACCTGGCACTATTTTTATGTTTTTTAACTAGGACTGAGCTCAATAACTTGTGATTGCCTAGCAAGTGCCTTGGCAGGTGAACTAATCCCCAGCCTCTGGCCTAGCACTTTGTACGCACTAATACAGAAACTGTTCCAGTATTGTTACAGTAAGGAGGAGATTATATTGGTAAATCCAGGAAAAGTTATTGGAATTCTAATAAATAAATTGCAATCTACTAAATCCAGTGAAATTCATGCCATGAATAAAGAGTTAAACCAGTATCTGTAGTTGTGGGGAACCAAGGTGTTCCTGGGTCCAGTCAGAACAATAGCTAAGCAGTTCTGAACCAAGGTTTCATTAACTTGTGAAGAGAGTCAGGTTTTGGTCCTGGATTGGAAGATTTGAAGAGGTTACAATATCAAATCAGTGTGGCCTCCTAAGGAGAGTAGTGGGTAGACAGTGACAACTCTCAGAGGGATAAAAAGTGGCAGCCAGGTGGCTGTATGTTAAGGTTAGCCTTGGTCTTAGAGCAGAATGGAGAAGGAAACAAATTTCAGGTGAAGGTAAAGAGTCAGTCAGGTTAACCAGCACTCCATGTGTATCCCTAAAGCTGTGGGAGAGAAATGTCCTGCTCAGGAATACCCTTCCTTTATCGAGCCTGATGGGGTCCTGTTGTGACCTCAGTGGTGCCTGGCTGAACTCCAGGACCCAGGAAATCATCCCCTTCCCCTGTACATGTGACAAAAAAGAAGTCGCATGTTCCCCTGGAGTCCTAGAAAGAAAGATGTCCACTTTTTCTTCAGTTGGTGGGTAACTGTAGCCCTTGCAAAAAGAGAGGCTGTGGAGAAGCTAAAGTGTATAAGGAGGAGCTTGGTAACAGTTTTGTGAGGGAATTTGGAAAAGTATTGAGTGGAGAAGGAGTGGAGGAGGCAGAAATCATCAGAACTGTGTCACTTTCCTGCTTAGCACAGAGTTGGTCCCCATGAACCAAAGTACGTGAGCAAACAAGAAACTAGCCTTCCACTGAGATGAAACATTTATTTAGTTGCTGGCATCTGCTCTAGAGTGATTCTAGACTCAGCTCCAGGTAAGATGGTTGCTCATAGAGGGGATTTACTTTACTTTGTGCAGTCAGCTCTGTTTTATAGTATTCTTTATCCAATGTTGAAACCATGAGACTTTGGTAAAGATACATGGTGTTGTTCCATTCTTTGATACATAGGAGAAAATGCCCTGTGCCACATTATTACACACCAGGGGGCCTCCGGAGTCACCCTGTAAATAGAGAGTGAGTCTGTGAACCACTGCACCACTTAACTTCTCATTTCCATTATTCCAAACCCCCTCGTGCAGTAATGATTGTAAGGTCTGCTTGTGAGAGATTAGAGGGAACTACAGGCTGTTAGCTGCTGAGCTCTGACTATGGGCATTTTCACTCTTGGAGCCAACCTTTGTCTTCAGCCCCAGGTCTGGACCTCACCCCTGTAGAGTTGTGAGGACCATTCATTACAGGCCAGGGAGGCTGATGACCAGGTCCGACAATGAGCACAGATGATTAGCTCATTGACCAAGAGGGCTGCCATCTCAGAGGAGTGTATAATTCCTGCACACCAGGGAAACAGTTTTCTCATGCCTGTGCCATGAGCTCAGGCAATGTGTTACAAAGTGAAGCTTCCAGTGGTGTTTCCTTCTCCAGAGGCCCCTTAGTAAAGTGGTAGGGGCTTTAGGCTTTAGTACCTCCCAGCTCAGGCTTCTCCCTTCTTCTCTTTTTGGGGAGAAACGTAACAGCCTATGGGGTGAAGGAATCCATGATGCTTGGGTCTCCTGGTACTAGATCTGTCCCAAACACTCTTTCCCACAAAGCCAATTGTGACAGATGCCTCGTCTTACCTTAAACGAAGTATTGTTAATCTTGGGGTCTCCCACACAAATCTCAGTAGCAGGATCATACTTTTTAAAGTGGTCCTGACACTTCTCGTCATTCTGCAGTACCATCTCCACTTCCTGCAGTGTTCTTGAATGTGTACCCTCTGGGAACAATCGTCCCCATCCAGCCACCTGGCACGGGGTACCTGGCTTCACCTGAGTCTTGCCCTTGGGCAGCTTGAGGAGCTGCACAGCTTTAGTCAGCTTGGCCTTTTTCTCCAGCTGGTGGAAAATAAGTAAGGAAGTCCAGTTCAGTGTATGCTCCTGGGTATGCACAGTTTGATGGACATGATGGCAAAGAGGGCAGGGGCAGGGTGCCAGTGGGAGTGGGAACCTTTTTGAGGAGAGCAAGAGTGACAAGGACATGTGCCTTACCTTCAGCAGCATGATGTCGTTGATGTGTTTTCCCCAAATAAAGTCTTGGTGGGGAAACGCGTTTTGTACTCGGAAGACCTGCTGGGTGTCCTCTTGTTCCTTGATGTTGTGGGCCCCCAAGGTGACCTCTATTTGGCTGTACACAGAGGCAAGTGGATTGGTGGATGGAGAGCTACAAAAGACACTACCCAGGATCTGTAAAAGCAGGCCACAACTGAAACAGGTATAGCTGTAGAGGACCGAGGGCTACCTGCCTGAATGACAGTCCCTCCTTCTTAGTACCGAGGGAGGGCACATTGAGCACTAGAGGTTCTCAGTGGTCAGTGCCTCCAGGAAAGGACATGAAACTGTTTTACTTTGCCTGATTATGCCAAAGTATGGTCCTAGGTCTACATGTAATCAGGTTTGATTGCCCTGGTTTTCCTTATATCAGGAATTCTTTGGTGCTAACTTGCTTCTCTGCACTTGGGATATGATCACCCTTTCTCACTCTCCCCAGTCCTCCTCATGGTTATGTCCATGAGCTCATCGAGCTTGCCAGAAAAAAGGCACTGAGAAGGGTTTCCTATAGACTGTGAACCTTTTTTCCTTTCTCACCCCTTTAAACAGTGAGCAGCTGTCAGCACAAAGTCCTCTTGAATCAGGAAGCCACCACAAATTTTTCTAGATTTCTCATGCCTGATCCTAAGGTAAGCCATGTAGGGGCGGGAGTGGGGTTTGGCTTCATGTCCCCCGATGATCTCTCCTGAAAACAACAAGAAGACTTGGTGCAGCCACTGAGTCCTTGAACAAGTATCTTACAATCTCTGAACAGTTGGACATTTGGGAGGTTGCAGTTCCTTGAAGTGGACAGGAACCTAGAGGAAGATGCCTGAAATTGTTTTCCAAAGTGCAGGAAATTCAGTATTGTTCTACTTGTCCTTTTCGTCTGTTTGATTGGAGATGACTATATGTATCAGGGGAAAATAAGATTTCTGAAGCTTTTCATCATTCCTCTGCTAACTTTTTACTTCCCTTGAGTAAATAAAACCCTTCTGAGTCCTGTGATGTCTAGGATGATGATGCTTTATCCTGGCAGGCTCTAGGTGTACTGTAGGTGAGGTCTTAACCTCATTTTAAGGCCCGACATGTAGAGGGTGTCTCAGATCTGTTCCCTGGAAGCATGAAGGAACAGCTGCAGTTACTGTCTGGTTAGTAGAGCAGTGCAGATGGAATTCAGGAAAGCAGAGAAGTGTGAGTCTGCCTCTGTGGCTCCTACTGAAAAACAGAGAAGCCACTGAAATCCGGAGGAGGAAAGCAGAGCTGGAGAAAGTTAGTAGGAGTGAGGAGAGGCATCAAAAGAGATTCCATCCATTGTGGGGAGCTCTGGGCATCTCTACTAGGCAGTTATGAATGCAAAGCCTTTCCCCTCCCCTGACCGGGATTACTGGTCTATTCTGCCATGTTTAGAAGTGCTTGATATTTTCTTCTTTTTACTTCTCACCTCCATGAACTTTGAAGAACGACTCTCCGGATGTGCAAGCTGTGCCTTACTTAGGGTACATTATCCACTGGCTCTTCTTGAAAACAACCTCTGGTGGCTTATGCAGTGTCCTAACTGATTCCCTCTGGTGGGATTGGAGTTCAGGTTCAGAGCAATGCTGGCAAACAGAAGGCTCTGGGGGTGTTGCATAGGAACAGGAGATTCACGTGCTCTGTGCAATAAGATAGGGCCTCTTGAGGGTGGAGATGGTCACTCACCTGCCTCTGCTCTGAGGAGCAGAAAGAAGGCCAACAGGAGCAGGAGCAGCTGCATCTTCCCAAGAATGAAGAAGCGTCTCTAAGTCAGAGCTTCTGAAGATTTGTCCATGTTGTCTTTTAGCCCCCAGCAGAGGAAAGGGAGGAGTTGGCTCAGTGACCTCATGTTTGTCACTGGTTTTGTGGTGCTTTACCCTGAGAGGCTTTCTAAAACAACACACTATGGCCATTGCCTCCTCTCATCATGACACCTTTTAAGTGTATGAGATCCATATAATGACCACAGCTGATGAGTCAGATCAAATCATGTGTTCCTGTCCTCACCAGAAACCCAGGTGTGCAAGATGGGTCTGTAGGATGTGGTACTGGCCAGGACATTCTCATAAACATGGGTTCCCAGTGACAGAATTATCAATGCCAGGTTTCATCAGGGTAGTTGTAGATGCATTTGAGTATTAGGACCATCTCTTTTGCTAGGAGCAAGCATGCTGGAGAGTGAGCTGACCATCTGATGAAAGAGACAGAAACCCAGTAACCAAACTTCAGGAAGGCCACAGTGGAGCAATGTACTTAGGAATAACAAAGCTTGGCCAGCATCCTATCAATCTATCTGGTGACTCTGACATCATCATAGCCTCCTTCCAAGGGAGGCTTAACATCACTTATGTAATTATAAACATTCAATGTGATGGCGTAGGACTCTCTTCTCAATATTTTTAAAAAAATGTCTGCACTTGGAGTTTTTGGTCTAAATTAGCAAATTGCTGTGGGTCCTTGCAATTCAATCTATGTCTTGACAAAGTTTCCTCCCATAGCTTTAGTTGTGGTGTTGTGGATCCCAGAAGAATCTCCTAAACTAAATATGGTGGTGTTTTGGGGTGTATATGAGGATGTTGATCCCTTGTTTTTAGGGCTCATTTTCTTTTCTCTTCTTCCCATCCTATATGAATTGAGAGTTGCCTTGCCCCATGAAATCCTTCTGCCATAGTGTTCCTGTTTTGAAGACTTCCTGCCTGTCCACTGTAACCCTGTTGCTCGAGGGCCAACTGTAGTTCTGAACAATTTGATTTTTGATTTAAGCTTCCTGTTCATGTTTTACATGTTTTTCTATGAGGAGTATTACACTTGAGAAGAAAACATTCCGGTGTATCTTCCTTTTCAATAGAGGACCATCAACATTTATCAAAGCGGACCACGGTTTTAACTGAACTTTCCCAGTAGTAAATAATTAAAAACAAAATTTGCTTTCTGACTGTAATTATAATGCATACTCATTAACAGAATTCAGAGAGCTGGAAGGAAAAATAGCATGCATTTGTCTATCTCCCCCCAACAACTGAAAATTTTATTATACATATTTATGTTACATAATGATTATACTTATTGTGGGAATTTTGTATGTAATGCATCTTATTTCTTCGTGTCCTCTTCTTGTCTCCTCTCTTTCCCCTCCTTACAACTCTTAGTCCTCTTCTTCTCTGAAAAAAATCTATCACTGTTTCTTGTTATGTAGCATTTATTTGGCTCTTTAATTTATTTATACTTTAGGTTTCTTATAAAAGAGAAGCCATGTGATATTTAATGTTGTGTTGATTGTTTGTTTTACTTAACATCGTGGTCCTAAGTACAACCATTTTCTACAATGACTCATGTTTGTCCTGCTTATAGAAAAATAGTACTCCATTGTGTACAATGCCACATTTTGAAAATGCATATTGCTGGGCAAACAAACTGTGTGCTTCTAAGTTACACCTGCTATGAGTTGTGCTACTATCAACATGGATATAAGTATATTACTGTAATAACTTTTCTCGCTCTTTCAGGAAGATAGGGAAACTGCTATCTTTAGAAGGGAGATGACTGGGCTGAATAGAAGTTTACTTTTAGTTTTCTGAGAAATCACTTTACTGATGTCCATAGTGTTATATACAGCCCATTAAACTTATGTAGTGAGCATATTAACTCAGTGCAATGCTATAGAAACAATGTAATTTACTTCCTATTGTAATCAATCTTAATTAATCTTATAACTTAAACATTTTAACCACATTTAAAATATCCAATTACTCAGTGTTACCTTAATAATTGTTTCATAGTGTTATTAAAAATATAATATGCAATAAATTTGTAAAGTTGTAAACTAAAAAAGCAACATATGGTGTAAATAATTAAACTCTTCCAGATCTTTGCTCAGTGGCATAAACAATTAGAATTACCTGATTTTCTTCACTCATTAATATTTAGCTACAATGTTTTGAAGTATGATCTAATAAATTTTTTGTGTAATATTTGCATTGAAAAATTTAACAAGGGATGATGCTAAACACATTTATGACTCATTTTTAAAATGTTACATGTGTAACTATTTTCAAGCATACAATTCAGTAGAATTTATGGCATTCAAAATGTGCATTTTGAATTTCAAAATATTTCTAGCACCTCAAAACTCTGTTATAAATATTAAATGATTGCTCCCCATTAACCTTTTTCTCATCATCCTGCTCACTGCACTGCTAATCTTTTTTCTCTATGCACTTCTCTATTTTGAATATTGCATGGTTGGATCATATTTCTAAAATCATTCTTTAAATCTTTGGAAAGTTTAATCTATTTACATTTAAAAGGTTTACTTATAATGAAGGGTTTTTTATGACATTGTGCTACTTGTTTTTTATGTCATGTGTTTTTCACTCATCAGTTCTCTCCATACTGCCTTGGCATTTCCTATAGGCTGGCACATTTAAAAATTTGGGATATATTCTTTTTTTGGTCTGTTTGTTACTGGTGGTACTTGAGATTGAAGCCAGGATCTTTGTAGTGAGCTACATCCTACCTTTCTCTTTAGTTTCTACTTTGAGACAAGTTTTCATTAAATTCCTTTGGTTAGATCTTAGGTTTCTCCTGCAGCAGCCTTCCAGAGTCTTGGGACTGCAGGCATCTACCATCACCCCTCACTTAATGCCGAGTGATGAAGGATAGATTCTCTAGATGTAGAATCCTTGGTTGACGGCTTTCTTTTTTCTTTTTTCTTGTTATCGAGGTTTGAATTTACACCCTGCACTTGCCATGCAGGCACTGTGCCACTAAGCTATATATCCTGCCCAACAGGACTTTCTTTCTGCACTGTAAGGAAATGGTCCCAGTGCCTTTGGCCCTTAAGGTTTCTGATGTGAGATCAACTGTTAATCTCGTTGAGAATCATTTTATGGGATGAGTTGCTTCTGTTTTGCTGTTTGGAAGGTTTTCTCTTTGTGTTGTAACAGTTTCCTTGTAGTAATTGCCCTTTTGAGTTTTGAGTTTAACCTGCTTAGAAATTTTGAGCTTATTGGGATTGTGTATTCTTATACTTCATCATATTTGGGAAGTTGGGGGCCATCGTTTATGGAAATGTTTTTGATTTTGAAATTATCTATCTTTCTTAAGTATCTTGAATTTCCATTGTCTCTCTCTTTATATATATCTGATATATATATATATATATATATATATATATATATATATATGAAATAAGATAAAAATACATATGATACATATGATATTGAATATGTCCTATAGGACCCTTAGGCTTTGTTCATGTTTCTTTATTTCTTTCTTTTCTCAGACTGAGTTATTTCACTTTTATGAAAAATTCACTTGTTCCTTTCTTCTCTATGTTCAGATAGTTGGACTTTGTTAGTGAACTTTTCATTTCAACTATCAAGCTTTTAAGCTCCAGAAATAAATGGGTTTTTTTTATTTATGAGTATTCTTTACTTTTTTGTACATCATGTCTGGTTTCATTTAGTTATTTGTGAGTTCACTTCAGTGTTTTGAGCATTTTAAATTGGGCAGATTTAAAACCTTTTGTTAGTGTAGCCAATGTCTAAGATTTTCAAAATGTTTTAAATATACTTCATTTTTTTTTTGTTGTGAGTGGGTGACACTTTATTATTCCTTTTCATTCTCTGTAATTCTTTGCTCAAAACCAGTCATTGGGTGTATTGTAAATGTGAAATTTTCCTCACATTGTAAAGTTTATTTTGCTTTCCATAGCATTTTGTTTACACAGGGCCCAAAGGTTATACCTTGTCTTTCTAGAGTGATGGGTTCTTCTCTTCTCATTTTTCTCAGGGTCTCATTCTATGAACATTCCCACAATATATATGGAGGATTTGGGCAGATGTATATTTTGTGGTAGGTAAGAAATGTGCTGAATCATTTACTAAAACTTCCCCTATATGATTGTAAAATTGATGTTAAAGAAACCATTGTATCTCTAAATTCTGCTTGCTAATTATTGTGCTGTATCTTCTATTATCTTGTATTGGTGTGACAGACCACGAATACAAACCCCTCTTCTACTGGGCTTCTGTTCCCAACTAAAATCTCAAGAACAACCTAATGCATATATGTAAAAAGAGCAGGCAGCCTGGACCATTCCAGGCTGCCCTTCAAAGTTTGCTCTGTTTGAAATTAGGTATCGCACAATACTGAGAACATTGTTGTCATTATATGTGTCTAAATATTATTCCAAAGCCTCATGCAGTCTTAAATGTGGCTTTTTCAGAGGAGCGTGGATTTAGAATGCATGACACTGAAATTGATTCATTGTGCAATTCTAAGATGAAAGGTTTTTGGATTAAGGGTGTGAGTGATTCCTGTTCTGTGTAACCTGGATAAAATACAAGGGATAGAAAGTACCATGGTTGTCCCTTGTCCAGTTTTATTGATTTCTCCCTGACATGAACCGTTTTCCCTCTGCAATGCCTCTCTGCCATGCCACCCTGCCTGGAAATCGGTCAGTTATGGACTGAAACCTGTGCAGAATGTGAGTTAAATAAACCTGTATCCCTTGCAGATTTCTGTTGGACATTTTGTCTTATTCATGAAAGAAAATTTGTCCTAAGAGTAGTATTGGTGCCACAGCGCTAGGGTGACTTACTGAGCAACCCATTACTATCTTATTGTCATTAATTCTGTATGCCAAATCATTTGCCAAAACTTCCAAGAGGAGACTTTACAGTGTAGCCTGGCACACTCAGATGTCTTCCTGGACTACACTAAATTCTCCATAGCATTGGCTCTCTCCTTGAAGCTCCAAAGTGTCTGTTCTCCAGGTCCCTTTGGCCTTACAACATTAAGATTCTGAATTTGCAGTTATGAGTTCTTAACTGCTTATGCACAGGTCATAAGTGGTACTTAAGAACTCCTGAGGACATAATGGGAACTGGAATTAGTGGAACTGGTATC